ATATATCTAAGTATTAAAATTAATTAATATAATATATATTTTTATTAATAATATAAGCAGAAAATTATATATATATCTTTTTAAAATATTTATCTTTGCAGAAATAGATTATAACTCTTTAAATAATATTATTAAATATAATATTTTTATTAGTACTGTATAATTATTCTATAAAGTCTTAATATTAAAAGTCTATAATTTAAAGATTATAATAAATTTAGAGAAAAAATCTAAAAGATATTAATATTAGACTAGAATACTTTATAAAAGATTTTTATAAAATATTATTATCTTAATAGCAGAAGAAATCTTAAGAAAATAAGATTAAGAAATTTTCTAATTTATTAAAAAGAAATATCCAGAAATTATTAATATTAAACTAGAATATTCTATAAAAGACTTTTATAGAATATTATTATTTTAATAATAAAAAAAATCTTAAAAATATAAGATTAAAACATTCTTTAGTTTATTAAAAAAAAGAAAATTTCTAAAAGATAGTAATATTAAACTAAAATATTCTATAAAAGATTTCTATAGAATACTATTATCTTAATAATAAAAAAAATCTTAAAAAAGTAAGATTAGAAGATTCTTCAGTTTATTAAAAAAAAGAAAATACTTTTTAAAATAAAGAAAAAATAATTATTAAAAAAAGCAGAAAATAAAGAATATATTTAAATATATTTTATAAATATTAATAAAACTCTAAATAATAATTAGAAAGAAGTAGAAAATAGAGAATATATTTAAGTATATTTTATAAATATTAATAAAAATCTAAATAATTTATAGTATTATAAAATAATAAAGACTATAAATAATATCTTATATTACTGAATATATTTATAATATCTTAATAAGTTTAATATATAGATAATATTTATCTATGATAATAGATATATTAAATATAAAATAATAAATATTATATTTCTTAATAAATTAAATCTTATTATTATAACTGTATTTTTGAATATATTTAATTAATTATAATATTATTATGAATATATATAGTAATACTAGTATAATTTAAAATATTTAAGTAATTTTATAATATATATATTTAATTAATATAATTAAATAAATAATACTTTATTTAGTACTATAATATTAAATTATAAAATATATAATTTAAATAATTATTATTAAAATCTATAATTTTATTTATACTAGAATATATTTATTTATACTAAGATATATTTATTTATATAGATATATATCTATATCTTTCTTTTATTATATTATATATTTTCTTAATAAGTTTTTATATTATTATTAATCTTTATTTCTGCTGATTATATTTTCTCTAATATTTATTAATTTTTTATATTTTTTAATAAATTTATTTTATAATTATTAATAAACTATCTGTAGAAGTTTTTTGCAGTAATAAAAACTATATTTAATTTTTATAAAAGAATAAGCTCAAGCAGAATAATAATATTATTATTATTTAATATTATTAAAAAGATTTTATAAATATTTTTTATAAGATTCTTTATTATAATTATATTATTCAATAATAGTAGTAATATAGCTCTAATAATTATAATAAAAAAATCAGTTTTTTCTATTATTAATTTAGAGATTATTATTCTGCTATTCTGTCTTACTATTTATATAAAATATATTTTTAAAATAATTATCTAAATAGCTTTTTTCTTATATTATTATTAGTATTATTTATTAAAACTCTCTGAATAGTTTTATTTTTATATTATTATTAATATTATTTACTGCAGTTCTACAGGATCCTGCGAAAGAAAAACTGTTTTAAATTATATAAAAATTATTTTTTTTCTTTTTTTTTCTTCTTTATCTTAATTAATAGATAATTATTTTTTTAACATATTTTAAATATTTTTACTATTTTAATACTAATAGTTTTTTCTATAATAATTTATTTATAAAGAAATATAAAAAAGAGAAATAATAAAAAATTAAAAAAAAAGAAAAAGAAAGAAAAGAAAATAAAAGAATAATATAAAAAAAAAGAGGAAGAGAATTTAATAAGAAAAAAAAATATAATATATATAAAAAAAAAGTAAAATAATGATAAATTAATAATAAAATAATAATAAATAATTTATAAAAAACTTATTTAATATAAAAAAAAAGAAATAATAATATAATTCTTTATAGATAGATTAAAAATAAAAAAATAATAAGTTTTTAATAATAATAAATAATTATAAAATAAGCTTTAAATAATTAATTTCTTATTATTTTCTTAAATATAGTTTTAAAATCATATATAAATACTAGTATAATTATTATATATAATAGAATAGATATACTTATTATTTATTTTAATTAGTAATTATTAAGAACTGTTATATAACTGGCTATAACTAGTCATAACCTCCCGATAACTTGCACCAGCGGCCTACTATGATATTTTAGATAAATATATTCTTAAGCTTTAAATACTTGCAAAATTATATAATAATTTTATTATAGATTATTTTATAAATAAAAAAATATTAATATTAAAATTATAATATTTTTAATAATTAAAATTAAATAATTTTATAAATAAATATTATCAAGTTTATAGAATATATTAAAACAATAAAATAATTTATAAAAATAATAAGAACTATTAAAATCTTTATTTATATTCATAAAATTTTAAAAAAAAAATAATAAATTTTATTATTAATCTATCTACAAGTACTAGTATTATAAAAAACTTATAAAAGATTTTTAATAATATTTTAATAATAATAAATTAATATAGTAAGATAGTCTATTTTATTTTTTTATAAAAAAGTCTTAATAAAGAAATCTTATAAAAATCTTTATTTAAAAGATTTTCTATTTATATAATATATCCGCGAAGATTATTATAGATTATAATAATATTTTTATAAAAAATTTCTGATTTAACTTTATTTATATATTTTTAAAAAAAAATTAAGTATAATTTATTATTTACAGACTAATAGCTAAATTAAAAAATTAAATAATATTTTTAAATAATATTTATAAAATTATATTAATTTTAAATAAAATAATTAAATAAATTTATTATTTATTACAGAGTTTATATATAATAATATCTTATAAATCTTTATAAAAAAATTATTCTTTTATATTATTATAATAAAATATTTGCAAGTAATTAAAATAGATTTTTATAAAAAAAAAAGCAGAGATTAAAATCTCTGAATAAATTAAATATATTTTAAAAATTTATATTAAAATAAAGAAAAATCTAATTTCTATTTATAAAAAATAAAAACAGTTTTATAATTATAAAAAATAAATAAAAAACTTTATATTAAAAAAAATAATTTAATTATTTATAAAATATTTTTTATAAAAACAGATCAATAAAAAGCTAGATTTATAAAATAAAGAATTCTATTCTATTATTAAATAAATAGATTTATAAGTCTATAGATTAAAGTTATTTATAAAATTATAAATATATAATATATTTTATATATTACTATTTTATAAATATTATAAAATAGATAAAATAGACTTATAAGAGTATTTTTCTATAAAAAAATAATTATAAATATTATTTAAAGATTTTATTAGTCTTTTATAGAAGCTATTTATAAATAAAAAAGTATTAAAAAAAACTTTTATAAATAGTTTTTAATATTCAAATACAGATAGACTAAAGTAATAAAAAGATAATTTAGACAGACAATAATTATTAATAAAATATCTAAATAAAGAATAATAAATAAAATATAATACAGACAGACTGAGTATAAAATTTTAAATAAGATATAATATAAATACACTAAAAATGAAATAATAAATAAGATACAGTTTAAGACTATAAATAAAAATTTAAAAATAAATAGATTTTATTTTAATAAAAGATTATATACTTAATAGTGAGTTTTAATAATATTCTAAGATTTTATTAGAAGATTTTATAAAAGATCTTTACTGAGTCTTTCTAAGATTATATTATAATATTAAAAAAATTTTATAAAAGTTTTTTATAAATTTTCTAGAATACTGATTACTACTTAAGTCTTTTTATTACAGCTTTTAAGAAATATAAGTTTCTAGATAGATTAAACAAATAAAATATTATAAAATATTATAGTTAAAATAATTCTATACTTTAATATAATCTCTTTATATTATTCAAACTAATCTTCAAATATCTCTGAATTATAAGTCTGTTCTTTATTAATATTTATAGCTTAATTGTATTTCCTTTTTATTTAGAATATCTCTTAAATTATCTAGAAAATTATCTAGAAAATTATCTTTTATTAATTATAAAAGTTAAAATAAATAAACTTAATACTTATACATATCTTCTTAAGCATATTATTTATAATTAAATATAATATAATAAAGCAAGATCCTGAGCTTTATTTAATTTTTAATAAAAATATTTTTAATTATTATAAAAAACTCTTTTTTTATTTAATATAAAGTCTAAATACTAATAGTAATATCTTGTATTCTTATATAAATTATATAATATTAAATTTATAGATATATTTTAATATATAGATAGCCTGCTGAATTTATTTCTTAATTATATAATAATTAATAAATATTATAATAGCTTTAAAAGATATAACTTAATAAAATATATAATTTTTAAAAAAAGATAATATTAATATATTAACTTTGTTAAGATATTAGGATTGCTCTACAGACAATCTCAGAGTGATAAGCCGCGTAGGGGTCAGTTACACACACAATACTCCGTACTATCTACTACACCCGTACACACCACACTGGATCTTTGCCACTTCATTATCTGTTATGTGCAGTATTCTGTACTGGCCGCAGCAGACCATAGAGAACCTGGGCAATTAATAAAAATGGTTGCTTGCAAACAATTCAATTTTATGTGGTTTAATTGATGGATAAAAAAGAGCAAGTCTGATTTATAGGGTAAATCTCAGAAAAGTACGGAGAAGGATCTTCTTGATTTAGCTTATTTTAATGATTAGTTCTCGAGTCTACGGAGAGATAGCGCAACAGAATAGTAGTTATTTTCCTAAAGATATGCGGATATGCGGCCTGCGATATATCATGACCAATATCAGATTAAAGATAACTGGATATTTTCTGCGAACAAGGTCAAATTGGGAACATCAGATACAAATTATACCAATTATAAAGTGCAAGTTAAAGTTACTTCTTTTTCAAAGCTTCCCATCAGGCTCGCCTTTGAAGCGTTGTACCCTGGTCTGCTCCCAGTCATCAAGGTCTTTGGCCATAAGCCTCTGCGCGAAAGGAAAAGGCCAGCCGTTAATGGTCGATTGAATCAGAAGAAAGATAACCACGGAGCAGATTGCACACTTACATAGTACTCCTCTCGTTCGTCTCCAAGAATCCTCCTGCGTGGATTACGTTTGATACCTTCTTCGCCATCAGGCCCTTTGAGGCCCAGACTGATCGCCTCTTCTTGGCTTAGTTGTTTGACCTTGCGGTCATGCCGCTCGTACCTCAGAGCAGCAGCAGGTGTTAAAGCAAAAGATCCGGCAACGATGATGATGATGAAAGGGAAGCCGAAGAGTAGGAATGGATGCCTTGGTAGACGGGCTCTGTATGATGCACCAATCCGTTCCCCAATTGTAGATGACGCAGTTGTTGCACGTCGAAATGTCTTGGCTTGAAATACAGGCATTGTATAACAGTCTTCGGGGGCCTTGGAAAACCTACCACTGTGTAGACTGGTGAGTTAGGGTTGTTGCAAGAATATAAGATCTTCCCCTTCAGCGCTTTGGGGCGGCAGTTCCGCCCCGGACAGCTCGGCAAAACAAAAAGTCCGACATGCCTGCTGAATCTGGAGGTGGACGCCGTCAGAAGTCGTTCAATTCCACCGAAGTAAACAAACAAGATAATAGGCAACTCTCTCCATACACAAACTTGATTGGTGCTCTTCCAACCAGTATGTATCAACGTTTCACCAAAGATACATTGTATATCTATGCTGACAATAGCTTTCCAAAAAGCATTTGCAGCGGGGGTTGAACGATAGCCAGAGAAACAGAACGGTCAGCTACCAAATGGCGTCTGCAAACTCCGGCACCCTGTTTGGCGGTGCTGGCTTAGGGGCTGCAACACAACCGGCAACTGCAGTTCCTACAAATAGTCCAACCAATCTATTCGGAAACACACCCAGGCCGAGTCTTACAGGCGGTACTGACTCCGCCAAGCAGTCACAAACGCAGCAGCAATTCATACCAGGCTCGATTCTCGGCCAGGATCCGACGCAGAGGCATATGGAACTCCCATCCAGTCAAATAACCCAGCCTGCGTTCTTCAACAGTCTATTGGAGCGCGGCAAAAAGAGACCGATCTCTGCCATCGGCCAAGCTGGCAACTTTGAGGAGCTACCCAGCCTTCAATTGGGGCTGGACGATATCCGCAGAAAGGCCAGAGAACTTGGTGTTGGAGGCTCGAAGGAACTTCAACAACATGCGCAACACACCAAAGCGTAAGTATGATCTTTGCAATATACGCGCATACTTTTTTTAGAGGAAGTTCGGCTGACCATACAAATACCCTTCTCAGCCACTATCTTCTCGCTGGTTCAGGTGTCTCACCAGGCCATGCCCTGCGGGATCTCAAAGCTTTAGACCCACAGGCATTGATGGCGACAAGTTTGAAAGAACAAGAGCCTTTTGACCCAGACAACCAGAAGTTCCTGAAAAATATACAGCAACGTGGTCGTCAGGTCATGATTACTGAGAGCCTTTCTAGGGCTCACAGGGACTTTGATTCTTTTTTGGAGGGAAAAGTAGACATGGATTGGGAAGAACAACGACGAAAGATTTTTCAGCACTTTGGGCTGGCACAGAAGGATGATGGCGTCGGTGATGCAAGAGGTGGCTTTGGACATTCCATGGGACGAACCAAGCAGTTTGGCTCAGCATCTGCTAATGCTCCTTTGTCTACGGCTCGGAGAAGCGTGTTTGGACGCTCTGCTTTGGAAAAATCTGTTATCGGGATACCTGGTACAGGGACGGCGAGCATCCAGCTTTTTGAGGATCAAATAGACCGCAACGACAGTGTAGGCGGTCACTCCGATCTTCGCTTTTTACGAGAAAAAATGGGCTATTACGCAGACAAAATCCGGCTATTTAACTCTGCTAGACTACACACGCGGACCTTCCCTGTCCTCCACGAGTTCTCTGATGTCGAAGGTCATGTCGGTGGTGATGTAAGTTCTAGCAATAGAGCCTTATTTCTTGTCGACTAACCGTGCTAGGTACCTCGACAACTTTATGATGCTTACAGGGCTCTGATAAATATTGTGGGGGAGACCTCAAATATGACTAACGCGTCAGACCCAGTTGCACTGAAGGAACGGCAATTTTCCCAAGATTATTTGGATGAAGTGCCGAGTTCCCGAAGAGCAGTAAGCTTGAGGAAGCGGATCATTGAGGGCTCCAGATCATTCCTGGAGAAGTTATTCTACGATGAGGTTGAAAGTGTGATCGCCAAAAACCCTCGGGAAGCGCAAGTTGGCGGCATACCAACCGTGATCAATAAAATCCGTGCTTACATTCGCCTCAGAGCAGTAAGGAAGGATCTTGCCCCTGATGGTACTGAGTTACAGATGGTTGACCAGGATTATTGCTGGATTCTCATATTTTACCTTCTCCGATGTGGATTTGTCACAGAGGCTGCGGAGTATGTGAGCCAGGACCCAGGTTTCCGGTCTTTGGATCACAAATTCGTAACCTATATGACTACATATGCCCAGAACAAACGATTACCCAGGGACCTACAGCAGAGAATCAACGGTGAATACCAACAACGCTCTCGCAATGCGCCTGACAATACAGTTGATCCTTATCGTATGGCCTGTTACAAGATTATTGGTCGTTGTGAACTCAGCCGCAGGCGATTAGATGGGGTCAACCAAAGCGTCGAAGATTGGATGTGGCTGCAATTCAGTTTAGCTAGAGAAGACGATCGCGCAGAGGAGGTTGCGGGGGATGTGTTCGGACTCGAAGATATACAAATTGACATAGCAGAAATCGGTCAAAGAGTTTTTGGGAAGGGCCAAGAAGGGCCTGGCGGCTATGGCACCTTCTTTCTCCTGCAAATTCTTGGGGGTATGTTTGAGCAAGCTGTCTCATACCTTGGATCTTATGCTCCGATCACCGCCGTGCATTTTGCGATTGCCTTGGCCTATTATGGTCTTTTACGTGTGTCTGACTTTTACACCTCGGGCGAGGAGATATGTAAGTGATTACTTTTCAATTGTCCTCATGGTCTAAGGCTTACCGCTACAGTATCCTTCACTGTGAAGCAATACCCTCAGATTAATTTCTGCTATCTGATTACACAGTATACGCGAGAATTTCGAACAGCATATGTTGAAGCAGCAGTTGACTATTTCTCCCTGCTTTGTCTCAATGCTGACCTACCGGGATCTCTTGGCAAATCCCAGGCTTCGGTGTGCCATGAAGCACTTCGCGAATTTATACTTGAAACCAGGGACTTTGCTAAATTGCTGGGTGACATCCGATCCGATGGAAGCCGAATCAAAGGATTGATTGAGCAGCGTATTACCTTGATCAAATTAGTCGACCAAGAAGAGTTTCTGAAAACGATAACCGTGCAAGCAGCAGCCATCGCTGACGACAAAGGCTTAATCACTGATGCAGTCCTGCTGTATCATCTGGCCGAAGATTACGATCGTGTCATTGATATAATCAACCGGGCACTGTCCGACGCTGTTGCTGTAGATTTAGGCGGGCCTGCCTTGAAACTACAGCCTATGAGGCCTCGGGCTGATATGATTGAGCATACTCAGGATCCAGTGCATGAAAATCATTTGGAACCCGGAAGCAGTCTTAGTTTGACAGCTGTGGATGATCCGGTGGCTTTGGCGAAGAACATGATAGGCCTATACAACGCAAATGCACTTTATTACCAGCAAATCCGTCAAGTTAATCGCGACGCATGCGGGTTGCTGCTTAGGATGATGGAGGCAAAGATGGAGGTGGAGGCAGCTAAGTGGACTCCCGCCCTAGATGTAAGTTTTGTCATTTCCCCTGTGTTTTCATGATACTCGCCAGCAGACTGACAGATAATATAGGCCATCAATGATCTAAACATCCTCCCATTACGAGCTAGGGGCTCTGTGCCGTACATTAGAAACGCCGCTCAAGCCTTTTCGTCTTTTCCGGCCATCATTTCTCACAATGTTGGCCATGCGATCATGTGGAGTATCACATGCATTGGCCATGAACGGGAACGGTTGAACTCTGGTGCCTATGAGAATGAAATTCGGCAAGGCCTTGCGGATGAGCTGCTTGTCATGGCCAAAGACTTGATGATTTTCTCGGGAATGGTAAAATATAAGCTGCCACCCCGGGTATACGAGACGCTTGCGCGAGCCGGGGCAGAAATCGGGGCGTATTAAAGGAACAACCCTTTTGAATATGACGAGGTTTTTACTCTGTGAAATTGACTGAGTTACTATTCTGATATATTCTCTGAAGACTTATCCGGAGTCGGAGCTTCGATGGGTTAAGAAAGGTGTAGATAGACGGTCAGAAAAAATCAGGAACAATATGGAGAATTCTCCAACATATGTTGTATGGAATCATGAAGTAACCAACCCCTACGCAGCTTACTGCTCTGAGATTGTCTGTAAAGTAATCTTAATATCTTAATAAAGTTAATATATTAATATAATCAGATAAAAGATATAATTCTTTAAATAATTATTAATTTTTTAAATCTTAATAAAACTAGATAGTTTTTCTTATATAAAGATAAAGCTTAATAAGTATTCTAATTTTTAAAATATTTAGATTTATTAATTATTATATAATTAATTCTTAATCTAATATTTTTTAATATAATTTAATTATAATTTTTTATTCTAAATATAAGTAAGTTCGTTTTTAATAATATTATATTTTTTTAAATTAATTAATTTAAATAAGATTATTACTGCTAATAACTTTATCTATTTATAAATAATTGATAGGGGCAGAACCTATAAGCTATGAAGAATCAAGCTTGTATATATAAAAAGAAATAACCAATATTTAAAAAAGAATTCTCAGAAATCTTATAATTATATATAGATATATAATTTAGTAGATATTACTTTAATAAAATAAATTAATTAAGTTAAATAGTTTTAAGATATATTTTATAATATTATTTTTTTTTTAAGATTTAGTTTAAGATCTCTATTTATTTATATTAATTTTATTTTAATCTTATTTTGTTAGGGGAATAATTAGATTAAGCTAATCTAATAATTAACTGTTGATACAGCAGAAATTAATAAAAAAAATAAGAATATTTAAATTATATTTTTTATCTCTTCTTATACAGTATTAATTCTTATTTTATTTAATTATTTATTTAATTATAATATACTAAATAAAATATTTGTACAGATATTATTAAGTCTTTAAGATTTAAAAAATTTATATAAAAATCTTATAATAATATCTTTTTTTATTTTATATATATTTATTTTGTTTATAAATAATTTTAGAATTTTTTTAATTTATATATCAGCTCTGTTATATAAAGAATTTACTTTTTATATAAATAAAAATCTCTTATATATTATTATAGCTGTAAATTATTAAAAATCAGCTTAATATAAGAAAGTATATAAATAAACTTTTTCTTTAGTAAAGTAAATAATTATATAGAGACTTTAGAAAAGAAAGAAAATAGATATTTATATTTATTATAAAAAATAAAAATATTTAATCAGAGAATATAATTAAAAAAGATTTATTTAATTAATTATATAAGCCGTGCTTGCGATTTAGAAAGAGAATTAATTTAAGAAGATCTTAAATAATTCTAAGAATTATTAAAGAAAGAAATAGTCTTTATATAAAATTATAAATAAAAAAATTTAAATAAAATAATTAGTCTAAATTAAAAACTTTTAAAAAATATATATAAATCTTAGCTTCTTACTTCTGAAAACTATTATAAATTAAGTAATTAATATTTAAATAATAATAAATACAAAATATTTAATTTATAGAATCATTAGTTAAGAATTTATATAAAAGCAAGATTTAAATCTAATTTTTGTTATATTCTTTTTAATAATTAAAATTAGTAAAAAAAAATAATTAATTATATTATTTCTATATAACTAAATTCTAGAATATATTTTAAGTTTAATATTTATATATATATAATAAACTATCCGCTTTAGTATAATATTATCTTAGATTTATCTTAATTAAGAAGATATAATAGAAGAATTAAATTAAATCAGAATTATATCTATTTCTAAATATTCTAATTAAGATTAAAATAAATAATAATAATATAATCTTTTTTAATTAAGATATCAGCTATTATATTCTAAATCTAGATTTAAAAAAAGAATCTTAAGAATAAATATAAAAATATTTATTATATTACTTTAGAATATTAAGAAAGCTTTATATAAAAAATTAAATTTAAATTTAAAGAATAATCTTCTTCTGTATTATTAATAATTTCTTAGACTTTTTAAATTAAAAAACATTAAATTTCTTTTTCTATTTCACAGCTTAAAAATTAATTATATTATTAAATAGAAATAAAAAAATAATAAGACTTTATAATTATTTTAAAAATTATTTTATAATATATTAAAAAAAGTTTATTATATTTTAAAAAAGAATTATTAAATTATTAGATAAAGGATTTATTTATATAAGCAGCTTTACAGCTGTAATATTTATTTTCTTTTATTTAAAAATTAGACAGCAGGCTCTAATTCTGTATTAATTATTAAAATTTAAATATAATTATTAAAATTAATTATTATTCTCTTTTTCGAATTTATAAGATATTAAATTAGATTAAAAATATTAAATAATTTATTAAGCTAAATATCTCTGCTGTATTTTATAAGATTTATATTAAAAAAATTAAAAATAAATAATAGTCTTCTGTATATAATATAAATTATATAAATAATTTATTATTTTATTTAATTTAATAAATATTTTAAATATTTTTTAGAAATACATTAATTATATTTTATATAATTATTTAAATAAGTTCTGCTTAGTTTATTTAAATAATATATTTATTATTTTATTAAAAATTTAGTAATAATATTAAGATTTTTAATAAACTTTAATTAAAATATAAGAAATAGGGCTATACTTAAATATTAATAAAAATATATTTAAATAAAAGAAAATTGAGTATTTACAATTTATTATTCAAACTAAATAAAAAAAAAGTATATATTCAAAGAAGATTTATATTATATAAAAATAGAAATTCTTTATTATTAAAAAAATATATAAATTTATTAGATTTATTAATTCTTATTATTAATTTATATTACACTTCTCAGATCTGCTTAAGTCTGTTTATTAATTTATTAAAAAAAATACTTTATTTGAATAAATATAAGAATATTAAAATAATTTTAATTATTTAAAATTATACTTCTATATTAAATCAGTATTTACTATTTATCTTTTTTAATTCTAATTAAAAAATAATTTTAAAAATAGACTTTTTTAATTATAATCTAAATGAATATTTCTTTTAATATAATAAAAATAGAAATCTATATTTATATATATATTTCTTTAAATAGCTTTCTTCAGCTAAGAATAATTATAAAATCTGTAATAAAATATTATTAGTAGTTATTTAATATATAAAAATCTAAAATATAAAATTATATTTAATTAAAGAGTTTAAAATAATTATAGATTATAAAAATCTAAAATATTTCTATTTTTTAAAAAGATTATCTAAATAATATATTAGATAAAGTCTCTTTCTTAATAAGTTTAATTTCTTTTTTATTTATTAAAAAGCTATTAAGAATAATCAAGAAGATATACTCTTTTAATAAAATTAAAATAATTCAAATAATTAGAATAAATAGATAATATTATAAATATTTTCATTATTTTAATTAGAAAAATATAGAGAGATTATTCTTATTAAATTATTAAAAATAATACTAGTCTCTGCAGATATTATAAATTAATAAAAAAAATAAAAATAAGAATTAGATATATTAAAACATTAGAATAATTATTAATTAAAATATATAGAAATTTTCTTCTAGCTTAAAATTAAAGATTTCTATTATTAAATATATTATTAATAATCAGAGAGTTCTAATTTTTAAAAAATATAAATAAATATTAAAGTCTAAATTATTATAAACTAGATTAATATAAAAATATATAACTCTTTTTTAATAGAATATTTAAATTAACAATAAATTTATAAAATTCTTAATAATAAGTATTTCTAATCTGATATAATATAAAATATTTAAAGATTTATATAAAGTTATAATACTTATTATAGATCCTGTGTCTGATATAAATAAAAACATAGATTTTTAGAAGATCTTTTAATATTTAAATATTTTTAACAGAATATTAATATAGATTTTATTACTGAACTACCTGAAAATAGAAAATATATTAATCTTTTATAATTATTAATTATCTAATTAAAAAAGTAATTCTAATAATTATAAAAAAATAATTATTAAGATTTAAGAATATTACAATAGAAGAAAAAAGTTTAGTAAGCTATATTTTTATTTATATTAGATATAGAATCTATAGTAGATATTATAATTTTATATAAATCTTTAGATATTCTATATTATATTAGATTTAAAGTTATTATATATAATAATTTTATAAATCTCTTTTTATTCTGAGTATTTTCTTAAAAAAGAATTATATATTTATTATATTAATCTAGTTTACAGAGACTTAAATTCTAATAATTATTTATATTTTATAAAAATTAGGATTTTCTAGTTATTAATAATATATTTAATAATAAAGATTATTAAATCTAAGCTGCAGAAAAAACTTTTATATATTCTAATTAATAATTATCTTAATTTTCTAATATATTTAATTCTAATTTTAGTTTCTTTTATCAATTAATAACATCTGTAGAGATTAATATTATTTTTTAAGATTTAATAATAATAGTTTTTCTATATTTCTTTAACTAAGATAATTGAAATATATAAAATATTATTTATTTATCTTAATTATCTAGATTATTTTAATCTTGTTAAAAGAATATATCTGTTAAATTATTCTCAATATCTTTATAATAAATAAAAAAAGAAAATTACTAAAAAAAGACTTTATTTGATATATCATTTAAATAGCTTTTATAAGAAATAGAAGTATTTTAGATTCTTATAATTAATAATTATTTTCATATCTTTTAATTAAATATAATTCTATATTATAGATTTTCATATATCAAATAATTATTAATAATTCTTTATTATAAATCTTATAATTATTCTTCATTAAAGAGACTTATTTAAAGAAATATATATATATATATAGATTCTTATTTTTATTATATTAAAAAGATATTTTCTTAGATTATAAATAAATAAGTTTATTTTTAATATTATTTCTTAATTAAAATTAAAAAGAATAAATATTAGTTTAATATAGAAAAATACTTTTAGATAAATAAAATTATTTTAACATTTTTATATTTATTAGAATAGAATATTCTTCTTTATAAACTAATAAAAAGATTTAAAATAAATCTAAGAAGTTTAATAGAAATTAAGAATATTATAAGAATAGAAATTCTTATCACTCTTATAATA